AGAATTCTGAAAAGTTGTTGGAGAATTTAACTGAAAAAATGAATCCAAGCAAACGCTACCCAACATATGATCTGACTAAAAAAAAAAAAAAAAAAATGCAGACATCACTATAATGCAAGCAAAGCATGAGTTTGCAACAAAAGATGTTATTTCTTTTCAGAGTGTCTTATTAGAGTTCATCTCATTCTTATTACATTAGGACAAAAAAAAAAAGACTAATGCAAGTATATTTTTTGTTTTGTTTTAATCCATTGTAAACTTGTGCTGTATTGTTGGCGCACTCTACACATCTTCAAGGGAAACAAGCAGAAAAAAAAAGGAAAGCAGATTTTTTGTCAAAAAAAATATATATCCAGGCATGTCCTTAAATTGACAGGAAGTCGAATGACTTTAATTTGGCATCAAATGCTTTGGTCACACCCTACTGACACTGTGATCCCAGATGTTTTTTTTCTGAACACCCAGTAATGAAAGGTAGGCTCGTTGTAGTTTTGTATTTGAAGTTCCAATATACAGTTCACTGCCTCCCCAAAGGGGAGAAAGAGAAAGAGGGGAAAAAAGGGGGTTTGGGAGGGTTCCCCCATTTTTAATAATATGGATTAATCTATAAGTCTACAGGAACAAGAATGCCTGGAGAGAAGCCAAATCAGCCTTTTAGTGTACATGTTCTGCAGCAAAGTTGCTGAAGTACTTTCCGCTGGCAAAGATTATTCTTTTTCACTAGCATACAGAAGCCACCTTCTGCCCAAGATTCTTCCGTTGCTTCGGGAGGTCATAGAGAGTGGAAGGAGGTTGAGTTTTGAACAACATGGTGTCAAGTAGAAGGGAGATTTAATTGGTCAGACAGGCAAATTTGATAGAAGAGATCGATCAGGAGCAGGTAGCAAATAGGAAATTGGGTTTCCATCAAAAGGAATTTCAGTCACAACAGCATTCAGGAAAATAAATTGTGTTGTAGCAAGGAGTGATTTGTATCCATTTATGTAAGAAGAAAAAAAGAGATCAGAAAAAGAAATATTAGAAAACAGTGAAAAATGCAGTCAGAGATATCTTATTGAGTATTATGAATTAAAAAAAGAATATTAAACAGAAACACACAAGAATATACACATGAATTTAAATCATACCAAATTTAATAGAATAGTATTCTGATTTTTTTTTGTTTGTGCTCCCCAAAATGCTTAAAGTGAAGATTCCCTTGCTCACTTGTGCAATTGCAAAGCGTGATTTACTATGTGCATCTCAACCATATCTTTTTAACTTATTCACTTGTTACTTTATGGAGAAAAATCTTAGTCTGATTCAGGGTGTAATGCATAATTTTCCTACAATTTAAGACAAAGGATAATAAATAAGTTGGGTGGACAGTACTGTTTGATCATTCACTTTGGGGAAAATCCAGAGATAAGTAGTTGCCAATGGAAGAGCATTTGCCAGTGGAAATAGATTTTTTTGTAGCCTAGGCAGCTCCTTCTAATCCCCGACCCCACCCCCAGTTCTATTATAGAGTGATTGGAGGCTGCAATTGGGATGATTCAAAGGGCAAATTGAATATTATCCTGTTGTTGTGAAGAACATGAGTTTTCAATCTGATTTTAAGTCCAATCCCACATTTAGATAAATCTGCTGTCCTGTTTATCACAATCCAAGCTGCTAAGCACTTTTTCCAGTCAGTCAGTTAAAGGGATATTGCAATACATGTTGGTTTAGAAATTTTACTGTGTGTAAAAGCATGTTATTTTATACATGCTTTTTTAAAAAAGAGAACTATGAAATAAGGAGAAGGAAAAAAATAAAATCACTCTTGAAACTACTGTGTGCATGAAAAATATTGAAGTTTTGTTTTCTGAAATTCATTGTTAGTGGCAAATGCTGTGAAGCTCATTGAACATAAAGATGCTCTTGATAGCACTTGCGTGTATTGCAATTGAGATTGAAAGCACTATGTTGTTTAGAATCTTGCAACATTTTAAATGCTACTTAACTAAAAACTAAACTAAAAGGGATCACAAGCAGGGGCCTAGCACAATGCATACATTAATTCTCTGTAAATTCAGAGTTCTGCATATATTACTGTGATCATAAAAAATCTTGTAGTTGTACAGTAAAACCTTGATTTAACAGACCAGTGGGAAATGAAAGTAGATATCCATTAAATCCAAATGTCTTTTATAGAAGCATATTTCATGTATTTTATGAATATTAGTTTCATAAATGGAAAAAGGGATTTTATCCATGTATAGAAACTTAAAGTTTATGGACAAATTGTGTCTGTGCATTTGAGGTCTTCTAAAGGATTTCAATTTAGGGTTTACTGTGGTTTAAATAATTTGATTTCAAGTCATAGATTCCCTCAAGTATCAGGAAACTCCTCTCTTCAATCCCAAATATAGCTTAAAATTATTCTGAGAATGTCATGAGAAGCAATAGCCAGGATATGAGTTAGACATCTTAGAATAGAGTATTTCAGTTTGGAGGAAATTGTTGGATACAAATCATGAAGAGAGCACCTGGACAGGTTATAAAACAATCAGAACAGGAACAGAGGTTAAAAAAAAAACAGATCACACAGTTGATCAGTAAGTTGTCAAAAACCATTCAGCTACAATGAAAGGAACAAGGAGAAAAGCCGGTCGCATACAATGATAGGTGATATGAAAAACTGAGCATAGGAGCAGTTGTAACGGCAGATGAGAGACAAACTTATCTGAAATGAAAGGTCAATGCAAAAATTTGCACATCATTAAAACAAGCTGAGATGTTGTACTGTTTAGCATGAATGTAGTGTTTCTTTAATCTACTTGATGCTTACCCCAAGGTGCTTACAGGTATTTGAACAACGCAAAACTAAAATTCTTTTAGTAAACTTGCACTGTTTGCTGATTAGCCTGTATGAATTTCTTTCCATTCAACAAAAGGATTTAACAAGATGCACTATGGTCTGCTACACCACTGTGTATCTTTATTGCAGCTGACTCACTCTGGATATTAATGAAACCAACTAGAAGTTATTGCTTGTTCCACTATCTCAGCCTATCTTTATAAGAGAGAGAAAACACAGAGGCCATGGCTTGTAAAATTTTTTTGCCCATTTCCTTAACAGCCATTTTGCTCTGATCACTTAACCGGAAGGGGAAAAAAAAAATCAAGAAACTTAAGTTGGTAGAAATTTTTGGCTAGATCTGGCACATTTTCAAACATTTATTTATTTAGTCAACTTCTCTCCCAAGTCCAAATTTGGCCACATTCTTTTCTATTTTCAGATAGATAGACAATATAATTTCTTCAAAGATTCCTTTGGATTGGAAAGAAAATGATAATAAATTTAAAAGAAGTTACAACATTTACATAGATCATTTACAACGATGATCATTTCTAGGAATAGCAATATGGCTTTTGCCTTCTTAAATTATTTTTTCATAAACAGTTGGTGAAATCTGCTCATCCCTGTAGAAAAATCCTAATACTCATTCCCAAGCCTGCTTCTGTTTTCTGCTATGTTCTCCAGTACATAGATGTACTGGTCATACCTGACCCCATAATTAGTCTACTTCAGGGGTCCCCAAACCCTGGGCTATGGCCCACTACTGGGCCGTGGCCTATTCAGAACCGGGCCATGTGAGAGGCGGACTGGTATGCGAGTGCAGCTTTACTTGTGCTTCTCTTCTCTCTTCTTGAGTGGAGCTGTGAACATGCATGTGTGTACCAGCTCACTGCTTGTGTTCCCAGTTCCCCTCTCCTCCCCCAGCCAGGCTGCCAAGCCGCCTGCTTCCAATGCTCCAAAAGTGGAGCGGTGAGAACAGAGGCTGAGTGGGATGAGTGCGCCCTGCTCAGTTTTGCTGACTCATCGAGGCTCCCTGTGCAGGACACCCAATCTGCTTTTGGAGTGTCAGGCAGCCTTGTTGAATCTGAAGGAGCAGGAGACCCCACCCTCAAAGGCTTCTCTTCTCCACGCCAAAAGCTCTTGCAAAAGGACAAAAGGCTTCGGAGGAGCAATCTTGCATTGCTTCAGATCTTTTGGTGTGGAGAAGCCTGAAGGAGTGCAAAAATGTGCCCCAAAGTCTTCTCCTCTTTCTTGCATGAGTGAAGGTGTGTACGCACATGTGATCCCATCGCTCGCACAGCCGTTCCCCTTCCCCCTCACCCCAGTCAGGCCGCCAAGCCATAAAAGTTGGGGAGCAATGGATTAGTTGGAGTCTCCAAATATTGTTGATATTGTCATATACTTGAATCTTTCTAACACATCTGGAGGATTAAGATAGCTGACATTTGAGAATGAGGAATCCACTATACTGTGAAAGGCTTGAAAGGAACCCAAATGTTTCTGGTTGAGGATACTAATTTTTTTCAGGGAGTTGATACATATACTCACACACTATAGCAGAAGTGCATCTTCCACAATAAATAACAATTCTTTTATATGAGCATGAAGGTTGTTAGTTTCTGAATGTTTCGTTACTCCTAAACTCTGCTGAAGATGTTACCTAGCCTGGTAATGAAACGTTTGGAAACCAACCCATAAGCTCAAAGAATGAACCTTCACCCTCATCCTACACCTACGCACAGATATTCGCCACTATTGCAATTCTTTTATATTTTGAATTTGCAACATTAAAATTTCCAAGTATTTCCCACTTGGAAATACTTGGAAATTTTTGGGGGACAATTTCAGCAGCTGATTCTCTCTTTGTTTGGGGCTTCTTTGTGCAGTTTTTTAAAAATCTATTTTTATTCTTTCATTCATGCAGTGTTAGATCTCTTAATACTGTTTGTACATTCCATTTCTTTTCGGAAGCTTTTAAGCAAATATATGAAAATAGACTATTCTTTTAGTTTATTGACAAAAGATGAGAATGATGAGGTGGAAAGATAGCCTGTGTTTTCCTATTAGGAGAAAAAACAATACAGGAGTTAAACTTTCCTGAGATTATTTTTTAAAGTCCAAACAATATTAAACAGAGGAAAAAATAAAAAAAAAATAGTTGGAAAAAAGCACTTACCATCTTTACAGACAAGACCAACTACACAGAGACCTGTGTCTAAGATGTAGCCATTTGGACAACTTGTACAGTTTCTTTCTCCTGGGCCACTGCACCCAAAGCAGCTGACATCACATCTTAATGAAAAAAAAAAATCCAGCAAGTTATACCTAGGATCCATGTTGATTATTTGTCTTATCATCAAATACAGCTTGATTTAATTCTCATTTGAATTAACACAAGATTCTATAATCGGGATGTTAACACAGAAAATAACATAGCAAAGATGATAATTGGAATCACATAAGCCAACCCTTTTTTTGCTCTTGTTTTATGCCTCTGAGATCTTGAAGGCTCATCATACACAAAGAAAACTGTATATGCCTCCAGCATTTCCACAAAGTTAACCATAATCTGGTGGCCATGTCAAATAACCTGGTTGCTCAGAAATTTCAGTTAATCAATTTCCCTTTTACATGTCTGTTTTGGGACTAGAAGGCATTTACAGAAATTACTTAATTTTTTCCCCCTTTTTAGCTAGACAACCAATTCCAGGATGCCTCCTGAGTCTCAACCCATGGTTTCTGGATGAAAAAAAATGAGACTGATGGGGAAGAATTCTTACCTGTGAATGACTAATTGTATATGGTAAGACTGTTGGTCATTGTACAATTTCACCACAGAGCACAATCTCATTTTCCCACCTCACAAAAATTATGCCTAACTCTCTGCCACCATCTTAACCTTGGCTTGATGTCCTAGCAATATTTCAAAGGTTTCTGGATACCCAAAAGCTTCATTAATATAGTATAATAGGAAATTGTTATTAGTGCTTGGTACAAGTTTGGATAATTAAAAAGCTGAGTAATAGGAATTATTTTTAGAAAATAGAATTCATTTTCAGCAGAATTCATTTTCTTACTTAGTTATGGTTCACATATAGGAGTCCCCTGCGGATTTTACTCTGCTAGTCGTTGCTGACTATAGGGAGCAGTGCTCATCTCCGTTTCAAAGCCACTGAGCCAGCGCTGTCCAAAGACATTTCCATGGTCATATGGCCAGCATCACATTATAGAGCGCTGTAACATCCCACCAAAATGGTACCTATTTATCTACTCGCATTTGCATGCTTTCTAACTGCTCGGTTGGCAGAAGCTGGTGCGAGACGGGAGCTTACACCGTTGCATGGTACTTGAGTGTCAAACCTGGGCTGCTGGCTTTCCAGCTGATAAACCCAGTATCTTAACTGCTAAGTAACCTTTATGGTTCACATATAAAATGGGGGGAAATTTGCATCTGATTTAAAATGTAACATAGCTCATAATAACCATTTACCTTTTGCAAGTTTTATATCCATTTTCTAATGAGTGATCCAAATAGTAGCCAGTGCCACAAGTTACCACACACCTTCCATTCTCCATAAAATATTCTTCTGTACAATTGATGCAAGCATCTGCTCCTGGGCCTCAAAAGCCAACAGAACAAAAATGATAAAAAAGTGCTGTATCCTCAATAAAGCATAAATAGTAAATATTCCCTATATAATTTAGTAGAGTGATTACTAATTTGGAGAGATGAAAAGTGGTATTGTTCCATGTAAACAAGAATGTTAAAAAGATATTAAAGCTCAACCAATTATACTGGCTAATCCCTCCTCAGAGTCTCACTGATTTGCTAGAACTGCTATTGGTTTGTTTCAGATTTCTTTTTCTTGTTAATATTGATGATAATTTTATTAATCCAGCAAAGAAAGAGGAAGCTGTTCATACTGTGATCAATGGGTACTATCTGAGCATGGCCTAATGACAACCTGCATTTCATATTTATGATAGCATTGTGCCTTTCTACAAAGCTTAATACTTATTCTATTTTGTAGGCATAAATTATTTAATGAACAAAAATAATATTAGAAATACCTTCACAAGAAGCACAGGTGTGATGGCATGGCTCACAGTCTCTGCCATTATAATATTTGCCTGCTTCACAGCGTATAACACATCTTGTTCCTTGTAAACTACGAAAAACACAAGGAGATTTAGGTAATTTCAACTAATAAATCTAAGAGGAAGAGAAAATACATTTATGAATTATAATAAGCGCCATTTATGCCACTTATTAAAGACTCATTGATTAAGGTGTGTTTATAACTGATGTATTGAACTTCAGTCTATTTTCTTTATCAGTACAAGCAAGTATATATATGTACCAGAAAAGTGTTGAAGGAGTAACATAATTCTTCAGATGGAGTGGAATTGCATGTGTCTTTTTAATTTTTTTAAAAAGTTGTTTCAGTATTGCTTCTGGTACCTGACAGCTTTCAACATCTAGCAATAGTTAATTCATTCAGATTATAATATCTATGAAAAATGAATACTATTATAAGTTGCAAACTCTATAACTAAAAATTTTAGCCTTTTAAAGAAATCTTTCCTATTTTATCTTCGAACCGTTGATTTTTGTATCATTTAGCCTGATTGTGAATCTGAAAAACTCAGAAGCTTTTGGGCCATTAAAAACCAACAAAGATATATTTTAACTGTGGATTTAAATAAATTATAGAAACAATTACAAAAACAAATTATTGATTTTTTCTGTATGATAATTCTTAAATATTAGACATATTGCAGAATGAGAATACCGTGCTTTGGTTTTATGTTCTACATTTTAATCCATGATTAATCAGGATAATACATGCATTTGCAAAAATAGTTGTAAACAAATTCACTTAAAAGCTAAATATAATGTGAAATAATTTTTTTTCTGGAAAATTAGAAACTTCTTTCACTATCATGTTAATTAAAGTCAAACATTTCCTTACCTTAGACCATGTCTGCATTCTGTGCATGTATGAAATTCAGTGCATGACCTACAATTTTCACTGCATTTACGGCAGACAATCTTATCTAAAAAGAAATTCAATGCACAAGAAAATTAAGATTAATCATATTCAAAAGTACATTAAATTAACACTTAAATAATATTAAATATTTAAATTAAATATTTACATACCATTTTTTTCCAAATTATTTGTAATTTGTAATTATAAAGATATTTCCAAAATGTCATTACATCTGGAAAAATATTGTTCAATAACTCCTGCTTTGTTTCATTTACTTATAGTAAACCTGCTGTCAACGCTGCTAACATTGGATGTTCTTGCTTTGACAACAGATGAAGATGCAACCTTTTTCTTTCTTATACTGTACTGTACTATAGATTAGATGATATTGGGGGAGTGGGAGGAATGTGATGGGAGTTAGTTAGACATACAATATGGAAATAAGAGCTGATAAAGCATGGCGGGATAACGAACTGGGTGGAAAGACAGCTTTTCAAACTAATTGGAGAATGTGATTTATGACTGTTAGTTGTAGGAGGGAATTGTGCTTTGATCTATGTGCTGAAGGGAGGGGAAGTCAGATTTCGGCTTCAACTATGTACCTGCCGAATCTATGCTGCTCGATTAAAGATTCTTTAAGGTAAACAATGCCTCAAAGTTCTTTGAAGAGCTTCATCTTTCTGAACCATGACATCTGCTTAGTAATGTCAGATACTCATTTTTTTAAAAAATAGGAATATGTATATACTATATACTATAGTTAGTCCTTGACTTACAAAAGTTTGCTTAATGACTTTTTGAAGTTATAGCAACACTGAAAAAAGTGACTTATGACCATTTTACTTATGACCATTGCAGCATCCCTATGGTCACGTGATTTACATTTGGATGCTTGACAACTGACTCACACTTATGATGGTTGCAATGTTCAGGGGTCACACGATCACCTTTTGCAACCTACTGACAGGAAATCAATGGGAAAACCAGATTCACTTAACAACCATGTTACTAATTTAACAATTGCAGTGATTCATTTAACAAATGTGCAAAAGAAGATGTAAAAAGGGGCAAAACTCACTTAACAAATTTCTCACTTAGCCATATAAATTTTGGGCTCAATTATGGAAATACATTTTGGACTACCTGTATATTTAATTATATAACAATTATATAGCAGAAATTGGAAGTGTCTTGGCGACGTTTCGACGAAGTCCCATTCGTCATCTTCAGGCTGGTGTTTTCAGCTTCGTGCTTGGAGGAGCAATGTGTGGTCTTAGCTGTTTCTTCCTTTTAACTGCCAGTGGGGGTATGAACTGATTGGGTGGGAGCTTGGCTGTGTTCTGATTGGCTGGGGGCTTGGCTGTACTCTGATTGGCTGGGGGGTTGGCTGTGCTCTGATTGGCTGGGGGAGTGTTCTGTTTGGGTGGGGGCTTTGTTGTGCTCAGGTTAGTCTGAGTTGCAGGGGAGTTTAAGATGGTGGGCTGCCTTGCTATATTTTGGCTTCGGGTACGTGGTCGTGCCTCATCTTCATGGTGGGTGTCAGTTTGCTTCATGTATGGATTGGAGGGGATTAAAGTGGCTAATGATGCAGCTGTGGTCTGGCTTCTGGTTTGTGGTCGTGCCTCATCATCGGTGTGGCTTTGGGTTTGCTTTTTGCGTGGATGTGTGGTGGTGACATCCTGTGTGGTTTTTGTGAGTGTGGGTCTGGTATCATTTTTGTATTAGGGAGTCGTTTGTCAATAAGGGCGGGTTTCCAAATGGCTGGTAGGCGGGAGGTATCATCTCGCTTGTTCATGCTGTGTGGGCGTTTTTCTATCTCGATGGCTTCTCTGATTATTATGTTATTAAAATGTTCACTTTTGGCAATGGTTCTGGTATTTTTAAAGTCAATTTCATGTCCTGTGGCTTTAAGGTGTTGGAACAGGGAAGATGTTGGTTCCTCTTTTTTGACTGAGTTCTTATGTTCTTCAATGCGTGCACTTATTCTTCTGTTGGTTTGTCCGATGTATGTGTTGGGACAAGCAGTGCATGGGATTTCATATACTCTTTGATTTTCTAATTCAATTTTATCTTTGGGGTTTCTTAGGATGGTGGATATTTTTCTGTTTGTGCAGAATGCTGTTTTGATATTGTGTTTATGGAGGATCTTGCTGATTCTGTCTGTGGTGCCTTTTATGTATGGGAGGAGGGCTTTGCCGTTTTCTTGTTCTTTGTCTTGGATTTTAGTGAGGGTTTCTTTTTGGATTAGGTTTGTAATCTTATTTCTTTGGAATCCATTGGATGTTAGTACATTGGTGAGAGTGTGTAGTTCAGTTTTTAGGTGTTGTTCGTCAGCTAAGCGTTTTGTTCTGGAGATGAGTTGATCTGTGCTGGCTGGTGGTGTGAGAGAGTGTGCAGATAGCTGTTTGTGTGTGTTTTCTTCTGGTAGATGGTATGTCCTAGGGAGCCATTGGATTTCTTTAGACTAGGACATCCAGGAAGGGAAGTTGGTTATTGGCTTCTGTTTCCATGGTGAACTGTATTTTGGGGTGTAGGCTGTGGAGGTATGTGAAGAAGTTGTCCAGTTTTTCTTTCCCATGTGGCCAGATTATGAAGGTATCGTCTACGTATCTGAGCCAGAGTTTGGGTTTGTGATCCGATTTTTCTAGAGCTTGGGTTTCAAAGTGTTCCATGTAGAGGTTTGCAATTACAGGTGAGAGGGGTGATCCCATGGGTGCTCCTTCTGTTTGTTTGTAGTTTTGTCCATTATAGATGAAGTATGTGTTGGATAGGCAGTGGTTGGTCAGATCTAAGATGTTTGGGGGGGTTATATTTGTTTTGGATAGCTGTCAAGGCTTCTTTGATAGGCACTTGGGTGAAGAGGAATATGACATCAAAGATCACGAGTAGGTCACTGGGCTGTAAGTTTTGTTTCTTTATGATCTCTATAAACTGGAATGAGTTTTTTACGTGTGAGGTGATGGATTCTGCATAGGGCTGTAGTTGTTTGGTGAGAAATTTGGCTAGGTTTTGTAGAGGTGAGCCTATGGAGCTGACTATGGGTCTGAGTGGGGTTCCTTCTTTGTGTATCTTGGGGAGACCATAGAGTTTGGGGCATCTGGATGATTTCTCTCTGGGAATGATTCTTTGCTGGATCTCTTCGCTAATGGGGAAGGCTTTTATTTTGGATCTGGTGGTTTTTTCCAGGTAGGTGGTGGGATCTGTATTTAGGGGTTTGTATGTGGAGTCTTGACACCAGACTCACACTCACAAAAACCACACAGGATGTCACCACCACACATCCACGCAAAAAGCAAACTCAAAGCCACACCGATGATGAGGCACGACCACAAACCAGAAGCCAGACCACAGCTGCATCAGTAGCCACTTTAATCCCCTCCAATCCATACATGAAGCAAACTGACACCCACCATGAAGATGAGGCATGTCCACGAACGCGAAGCCAAAAAATAGCAAGACAGCCCACCATCTTAAACTCCCCTGCAACTCAGACTAACCTGAGCACAACAAAGCCCCCACCCAAACAGAACACTCCCCCAGCCAATCAGAGCACAGCCAACCCCCCAGCCAATCAGAGCACAGCCAAGCCCCCAGCCAATCAGAGCACAGCCAAGCTCCCACCCAATCAGTTCATACCCCAGTTAAAAGGGGTATGGCAGTTAAAAGGAAGAAACAGCTAAGACCACACATTGCTCCTCGAAGCACGAAGCTGAAAACACCAGCCTGAAGATGACGAATGGGACTTCGTCGAAACGTCGCCAAGACACTTCCAATTTTACATGGGAGAAAACCCGAATAACCAAAGACCTACATACAAACACCCACGAAAACCTCAGAAAACATATATATACTGATATATATACTGACACACACACACACACACACACACACACACACACACACACACACACACACACACAGATATACTGTTCCCTAGTGATTACTGGGTGGTAAAGTGGATGAAAATGATTTTTTTTCTAATGATTTTTTTCAATTTGAATTTGTATATTATCCTTAGAATCAGATTACTTGAATGTTGCAGGCATAAACAGTGTCCAGCAGTATTGCACTCCTGGAGCATCTAGTTCAGCAATTTGTTCTCACTATGGCCAACCAATTGGATAAGTTAGCCTGGAAGCTTTCCAGCAGATGGCCTTCAGAGGTAGTCACCCTTCCCCATTATTTCCAATAATTGGCCCAAGTTTATTTTTTTAAGCCAGCCAAGCTTGTAGATGGCACCTTAGCTCATAGCAACAAATTCCAAAGTAAAATTGCATGTTGGGTAAAAAAAAAAATCTTTTGTCCTGATTCTTCCATGATTGAATTTCATAGGATGATCTTTGTTTCTAGTGTTTGGGGAAGGGGAAACAACTTCTTTTTTTCCCATTTTATGCACAATGTGCCTAATTCTATACTCCTCAATCAGGTTCCCATTCATTTGCTTCCTTTCTGCTCTAAAAAGCCACTAATATTGCAACCTTGAGAAAGCTACTTGGTCATATTAGTTGCTCTCTGTACTTTCTCTAGCTCCTCTAAATCTTTTTTTGAGGTATGTCAATCAGAACTTACATAATATTCCAGATGCAGTTGCATCATTGATTTAGATATGGGTATTTTAGTACAGTATTGCCATCTATACTTTCAAAATAATTTCTTACTATTCCTAATATGTTGTTGGCATTGTTTTTACATATATCCACTGCTGGCACCTTCAATAAACTGTTTAACCTTGCCATACCATACCTAAATGTCCATACCATATCATACTTCTCCTTGTCTCCATTTCAGAAACTTGTAATACTATTACATAAAGACTATCTAAACTACTTAGAAATTTAAACCCCATTTTTCTACTATGTCACAACAAGCAAAATCATCTGTGTTCTGGTTAAGAGATAAGTTTATTTCTTGCTTATCCATAAATATAGAACAATCTGCTATAGAGATCGTTCTTACCCCGTTTGACATAATATTTCAAAACCGTATAGTCGTCTTTGTTTCATCAAACTTTGAATAACAGTTTATCTGTTTACTTATGTATTTATTTATTTGATTTTCAAGGCTGTCCAGTCAATCAACTGGCTGTCCACAAAGCAACAAATTGATTTTTATTATGCTTTATTTAATGGTTTTAAATGGTTGTTTTTAAACACATTTGAGTTGTTTGGTATATAATTCTAAAGTTCTGATTAAAATTTTACAGAGTTCAAACTGAAATGAACAGCACTATATTGAATGTACTGCATGTACGCATTTAATTTTATAACTCCTTGAATATTATAACAATTGAATAATGTAAAAAAAATCTTACTGTTATCCAGGTAAAAGCCCTCTGGGCAGGTGGTAATACAACTTCTAGTCTCTTCATTGATAAAGTAACCAGGTTTACAGGTATTACATTGATCACTATGACTTCCAAAACATGTTTCACAGTTGGGTGAGCACTTTTTACAACGTTTCTTGTCTGCACTATAGTGACCAGGTGGACAGTTGGGAACACAGATTCTTTATTGCAAAAAAATAATAAGAGACATATATGGTATTGAGCTTGTCAGAATTAATCAGATAACAAATAATTTTGTTTGGATAACAAAAGCAGAACAATTGTTTTCCGATACTAGAGTCAGATACAAATATAAATCAAACAATTCTTTTTATCTAAACAAAATACCTCAATTCACTTCCAATCTTAACTGGATAGAGGGATATAACTCTAAATACACAATATTTAAGATTTAAAAAATTGCATTTTAGATGAGCATGATTTAAGAAAACTAAGATGCAAATCTTTTAGCAAATGTATCATTGGAGCAAATCAATTCAAAAGTTTGAAGTGTGTATTTCTAACCTTGTTGAGCTCTTTCCCATTCTGTATTCCAATGTTCAAGTTATTTTTTTTAAGTGGCATAAAGTAGAATTTAGATAAATATATGGAGAGAAAAAATATTGCAAAGAATGTATCCAAAGACAGAAAGGCATGATTACAATTGAAGGAAAAAAACAAAATGCAGAATAATTTTGACAATAATAAAATGCTTTGGAAGTGGTAAATAAGGAGCTTCCAACTGAGCAAATAGATTTAAAAATAAGTGATGAAATGATTTGGCATGACACTAAGAGGGAATGCTGGAAGGAACATTTTACAGATTTATATGGGAATGAAAGTGATATGTTGAAGAGTGGAAGTAAAACAAATGCTATAAATGTTACTGTCCAAGAAAAACATAAAAAATGAACTAATAAATAAGTAAGAATGTTAAGAAAAAATAAAGCTGCTGTGTAGATGGTGTAACTGTTAACATATGTGATTTTCTTATGGAATCACTACACAATGTGGTGTTAATATGGGGGTGAAGACTACATCTGTGTTTGACAATTGGAAAAATGTTATCATGATTTCCTTGCATAAAGGGAAAGGCAGAAAAACTGAATGCAAAATCTCTAGGGAATTTATTAAGTATGTCTATAAATGCCATTTGCAGAATTCTGCCCAGATTTGTAAAGTCAGAGGGCTATGGTGATATATAATGAATGCTGTCTTAACTCATGCTTTTAATTTCTTTGGCTTACTATTTCTTCCTTCCTTTGTGCTCTCCATAACACTGCTTATCTGAAATGAGAATAGCAGGAAGGATGTGTGTATGCATGTACATATGGCATTAAGATTGTAATACATGTATTTTCATATAACGGATAGCGATGTTAATGTGTTATTTAGACAGGCTTTCAAAATTCTGCTGTTATTCCCTACAACAACAAAGCAGCATTCCTAGAAACCCTGCATATTTCTTTCTTGACTGGGCCTACCTCAAAAGGTGACATCACTCTTGAAAGTTTCTCCAAGTTTCTTTCTGTTCTATCTTATTTTAAACAAAATCAAGGTGGGGTTATTTTGAATTTCTTTCTCATGTCTGGACTATATAATCTCTTGTCCAAGTTCTTCCGTGAATGCTTTTTCATACTTTCCCCAATGGTCAGCTTTAAATTCCTCTACAATAACATTCATTTAACCCCTCTATGGACATTCCAACATTAGCAACCCTATAGTATAGCAAAATCACAAAAGTGATTTTGGGATCAGTTCTCACATTTACAACTTGGCAGGTGTTAAGCCAAAGAAATCCAAAGCGCAGTCACTGATTCACTTAGCAACCGCTTCATTTCCCCAACCAGGTTGCCAGTCTCAATCAAGATCGCTAAACGAGGACTACCTATAGTCAGCTGATATAAAATGTTTTATACTATGCTAAATGAGATAACACTGAAAATGAAGCCATCTTGGTATGATCTAATAAAAAGCTTTCTAAATAGGAATTCCAACTAGTTTCAGACTGGCTTATTGCATTCACATTGTGCGAGAAGTAATAACTGTTTCGTACCGTGTATTGTTTTTAGATTTATAGTAATAGTGTAGACAGTCATTGCAATGGTCTGGCCCTGGTCCACCACATCCAATCTTACTGCATTCTGCATTGCATGGACCTTTGAAAAAAGACCAAAGAATCCTTGTATTTTTATGGCCTTAAAGAAATTACTTCATATCGTAAACGAATAACTTGGGTTTTGAAAGTTAAAAAAACTGAAAATACTGAATAGAAGTATATATATGATTTTTATTAAAAGGTAAAAGCTTTAATAACACAAACCAATAGAAAGAAGATAAAGTAAAAAGCAAAGTTCAAGAAAGTTGAAGAAAAAGAAGAAAATATAAAGTGGCTTGTAAAATATTCTTCACAGTAGCTATTAAGTGCAAATATCCAAAATATCTACAAGTACGTAAGTTATAAGAAAAAATATTGAGTAGAATTCAAAGTTTCTAGAGACTGCTTTTCTGGCTTGGTTGAAGAAATGGATAAACAGCAAGAAAAAAAAGCTTGCTGTATTAATGGTTATATTATTTTAAATATAATAATTAATGTTACCTGAATAGTCATCTACTCCATAATCTTCTGTAGGGTCTTCAATTGCACTCATGCGTACTCGATCGCCTTTTAAAAAATCATTTCTTGGAGAGTAAGGCTGGATGGACGTCCCATAAAGTACTAAGGACCATTCTTTCAATTTACCTAGATGAAACATATTGGGAAGACATGAAATTCTCTTCAATATTTATGGTAGCATATTTCAAAGAACTGTCGTCTTTACCTGTTGCTGTGGAAACTATCTGGCTCAGGACACGAGGGATGAACTCTCCAGTGAAGAAGAGAAGAAACACTCTACTACTCACTATTCCAATTGGGGGAGCTCTTCCTTCCTCTTGATAGAACTTATTGAGATGAACTGCCCTGTGAGGAAGTGCAGCAGGAGCAATTGTTCTGGGAAGTGGCAGGATCATCTGGCTCTCCCCACAAAGGATTCACTAGAGCTGTGTTTGCTATTTATCTCTTTCCTCTCATTCATCTTTTCTGTATCTTTCTAGACGTTAAGCCTCTAAGCCAGGGGTCTTCAAACTTGGCCTTTTTATGACTTGTGGACTTCAACTCCCAGAATTCCTCAGCCAGTTTGCCTGGCTTAGGAATTCTGGGAGTTGAAGTCCACAAGTCATAAAAGGGCCAAGTTTGAAGACCCCTGCTATAATGTTTCATTATTCTGCATGGAGTGGTTAATATTGTTGTAAATATAATGAAAGCAAGGGAAGCAGTTACTATGGGCCCATTAGCATTGCATTGTTGTGTGGGAATTCACATGATTGAAACACATTATTCCACAGGCAAAGTTTCATATTTCCTCAGTTATAATACTGTTCAAAGCAAACAAAACATTCATTTGCAAATGATGAACTGCTGAACAAATAGCAAAACACTACCAGAACAAATGATGAATGTATATGTGTGAATTGGATCCCTACCACTTAAAGAAAATATTTAACTAAAAGAATTTGCAGCAAAAATGAGATGATTCAGAAAATAAAATTATTAGTGACTACTCTGTAATTTTGGGCATGAGAAAAAGAAATATCTATTTATATTTTTAGCACCAGGAATACTTGTGCAGCCAATCAATATTACAACCAATAGCACAATATCAATAAATAGTTGATAACCAAATATTCACTCCTACTAATATCAACAATCTACTCTGCACAAAATAGCTGTAGCAGTACAATCCTGTCAGCCCTTTGAGGTAGAGCAGACAACAGGTAGTATCGACAAGAATAAACCATGAGTACTGGCACTGTCATTATTGTAAGGTTGCAATAACAGAAATTTGCAAGTCTGAAAACCATTGTCCCTTGCTTTACTTTACTTTCTAGAAAAGTAGGGAAATTCCCTTTTGAGAACACTCTCATATCCTTTTTCCTTCTGTAGATTGAGATAACTTTTACATAACCATTGTCTAGTCCAGTGGGGGCGTGCCAGAGGTGGTGTGCCAGAGGTGGCACTCAGAGCCCTTTCTGTTGGCACGCATGCCACCACCGCTGCCAGCAGCAGCTCTAACAGGCCACCACCGCCGCCCAGAGCAGGAGCCCCGCCCAGCACAAAGGAGGCGAAGCGGTCGACTAGCAAGCTCGAGTAGAGGTGGTAGAGCAGAGGTCACCAACCATTGTCGATTGGCGGACTGGAAGAAAAGGGAGGGGGAAGCATTTTACATGCATGCACGCATGCACGGGGCTGCAAGCATCCATGTGCTGCAAATAGGGCGGGGCTAGTGCCTGCATGATACTCACTAGCCCTGCCCTGTTCTTGCATGGTGCAGCGCCTTGTATCTGCACCCCGTGGTGTGTGGAGGCCGTTTTTGCGCCTTGCAGCACAGTGACCCATTTTTGCACCCCTGATTTTTGCGTGCCAGAGGTGGAACTTGGAGGTGCCTCCCTGCCCCCCCCAAGGGCACCACAATGCTGATGTGCCCCTGGCACTTTGTGATAAATAAGTGGGTTTGGGGTTGCGGTTTGGGCACTCGGTTTCTAAAAGGTTTGCCATCACTGGTCTAGTCTATGTCTCTTCCTCATGTTTCCCAAGGTCATTCCCACATATTTCAAATCCTGAATGCACAACCTTTTGTTCTACCAATCTCTCTTTAAATTAAAAAATACTAGTGACAAATAATATGGACATATAGCAATTTCAGAAAAAAATTGTGATTACTTAAAGCATTCCATTCCTATTTAATATCACATGAAACCACTGGGTTGCCACAGAGTTTTTAATGGTGACTTTGTGGTTTGTGAGCTGCCCATGCACTTGTATTAAAGATACAAGGCTATATAAATATTCTAGATGAATAAAATGAATTGTGCTGCATATGGTTGCATGCATAGCATATATTACAAGCAACTGACAGGATAATGCTGACTTATACATAAGGCTACTAAGAGGATTCCCACATCCCCACTTTTTTGCTCTCTAATTCTCAGAAACAATTTGATGTCTTCACTTTTGCTAATGTGAAATGCTGAGATCAAGAAGTGAAAATTACAGCCCAATCAAAATTTATTTAGCTCCCGCAGCCATCAAAAGTCTTTTTCTCTACAGCACCCAAAAGGAAGAGATGCAAAATTAAAACTTCTCCAGGGTTTTCTTATTACCTTCCTCTGATGCTGAAGAGAAGAGAGAGGCTGACAAAAAAAATCTTACCATCATTCTTCTGCTCATTTTCTTTGAGCTATTGAGAGAAAGAGTTTCAAAACCCTAAAGCTTGCATTTGCCATAAGGTTCTAGAACACAGGTGTCAAAATTGCCACATCACATGACGTATCACGACGTATTGTGACTCTTTTTGCATTGCAGTTAATGATGAAACTGGCCTGCGGGCTGGCAGTTTGACACCTCTGTTCTAAAAGGTGGGGCACAGTGATTTCAATTATACTACACCTGAACTAATCAGCTGAGTTATCTAACATTATTACATCATAGAAGCACAGAAATATGAAGCTGCTTTATAAGGGACTCAGAATCTTCTATTTCACAGATGTCAAACTCGATTGCATCACGTGACATATCATGACTTTTTTGCCTTTGTGGAGCCGGGGTGGGCATGGCCTGCGCGTGATGCATCTGGCCCACAGGCCACTAGTTTGATACATCTGCTCTAGTTGAAATGTTGTGAGTTAAATCTCTGTGGTAGACAACATTTGAAAAAACACTTTATGGTGTCAAAATTGGAGGTTAATACTTCCCCAGTCATCTCACAGCTGGAGTTGTCACCCAATCTTCCTAGCAGATGTCATGGCTAAGTTTGCAAAGGCCATTTGATGATTAATATCAGGGTTCCCTAGGTATTGATGCTGGGAGACTTTGATATATAACAGGGGTGTCAAACTGCCGGCCCATGGGCCAGATGCATCATAGCGAAACCACGCCCACCCTATTGCCGGCAATGGCAAAAAAAGTCACCATACGTCACGACATGTCACGTGACGTTGCAAGTTTGACACCCCTGATATATACCAAAAGACTTTTCAATTTTTTGAGTCTAAACAATATTTTATCTTTATAAATCAACTCAACAACTATACTACATTAAATATATAAAGGGTAAAGTAAGTAACCAGCAGAATAATGTGTTCATACCTGGAGTCTTTACATTTCTTAGTTGAGATGGAGTATCATAGATTTCTAAAATCCAGTCACCAGTTGCTTTTTCACCCCAGCAGTGAGTTGTCATGAACTCCCAGTTTTTAAAACCTTCCATAGAATGGTCAAATAACCTTTTAAAGAAAACCACATGTATAAATACAACATGAAAATATATTCATTAAAATTTCATTTGGTATAATTGATTATAATCTATATGGATTTGTGTCAGGTTCCAATATCTTTAAAGAAAGAATATAGGGATTCTTCATTTCTGGAAGTAATGCTGAATTTTGGAACCACTAGCTATGACCCTACTTTTATGAGGATAAATGCTCATATAAATGGTCAAATTATACAACTATTGTTATTAAATCTAAAATAATAAAGCACAAACATTTAAAAAGTTTAGAAAATCATGAACTATAAGTGACATTATTCAGATGGTCTGACATGATTTTATTTTAACATATCTAACCTACCTGTGTCATAATTTTTGAAATAAGAAAGTGAACTTTAACTCTTAGCTATTATTGCCAAATTATTAATCAGAATCATATCCTCTTCTATGTCTAATAACTGCAGTAAATATGGGTCAAGTGAAACACTCTTTGTTTATGTTTTTCAGTTGCTTCTGAATTGATAAGTCAATATACAAATGATCATGGAGACAAATTTTCAGAGCCTTGAGTTAAATATTTTTGTACAGTGTATGAGTTCTAGTGAGCATGAAAATACAAGTCAAATAATCATAGTAAGCTTTTAGAAGATACATAAAGCATGAGGGAATCTATCTATAATTCTTACATTAAAGGGATATGCCATAAGAAATTTTATGGAAGATTTGGACCATGCCTGGTCAGAAGTTTTGGACTATATCTCTAGAGTATTAGACTGAACAGATAGGAACATATCGTTTATTTCAAGCTTAAGACAGATCAGGCCTTAATAGTATTTAAAGAAGTCAGTTCTTGGGAATTTCAGGCTTACTGGTGAGATTGGGAAATGGAAAAACATAATGTTAATTCATTTCCATAGCACTGCTAAGAAAATGCAGTCACTAGAAATTGACTGGTGTCATCATGGCAGAGCCTCCACTCTTTTATAATGGCATCACAATGTTGCACAACATTTAGTATAGCCATCACTTTTACAAATAATAGGAAGGAACCACCAAGTGACAACCAATTTAGCAAATACCTACAAAGAACACTATTTTTTATATATATATTTTTATAAAACATGAAAACAACATTATCCATTGGATTAATAATTTATCTCTAGTCTAGTCAACTGTTGCTTGTAAATGTTACAGGTAAAAGTTAAGTCAAACCATAATTATGTTCTCAAAATACCGAACATTTGATATTCTGCTGATAATGAAGCAATCTGGTTGCTTTAGAAAGAGATATGTTGGCAAACCATTCAGTTCCAAACTTGGGACAGTCCAAAGTATTCTTGTATCTCTTTGGGGGCTCTCTAGAATAGCATTTTTCATAGAGGGATTCAGGAGGAGAAAAGAATCAATAAACAAAAGGGAGGAGAGTCACTTTGCTCAATTGGAAGTATCTTCTACTTACATAATAGCCCAGTTTTAATCTAAAGAGCATTTAAATAAAGAAATAGATAAGAGAAAGTCTTCTGTATCTTTCTAATAACAACCAAAATTGCTTAACATAATTCTTGAACCTGATAGTAATTAGATTAAATCCATAGGGCTATATTCCAGACATACTTTCAAGATATAACATGTTCAGGGATCAACTAGTATGATTATATTCTTTAACAATGCTTTTTTTTTTCAGTCCTGTTATGACCAGAATATACTCCAGAATGAAATATCCTTTTGTGAGCATCAAGACAAAAAGTATCACAAATGCAATTCAGAGTCATGTCAGGATTACATACAGACAGGCCAGACTATATTTTAGGAAGAACAGTGAAAAGATTCATTAAGGCACGTGTGTCAAACTCGCCATGTCATGTGACGTGTCGCGACATATCGTAACTTTTTTTTGCATTGCTGGAGCTGGGGTGGGTGTGGCCTCCATATGATGTAACCGGCCTGCGGTCCCTACATTAAGATTTATTTCTTCCTTCAACTGTTTTCTTGAAGTACTGTTCTTATTCTAGTCTTTTGTAATTTGCAATTATCATTCCCAGTATCTGACAAAAACTATTGCAGAAGATTACTCTACAGTTATTCTTGCCTCTGCTAATGTTCATGACAAAATTTGAGATTTCCACTTGATGTGTTCATTTTCTCAGAGTGCTTCCTCAATTTACCTTTTTAAAAAGTTTCTACATTTTTTAAGTGCACACAATTTGGAAAGTGAACTTCCATAAAAGTAAAGGTCAAGTACCTGTTAGCCAATAGCTGAGATCTTGTTCCAGAAGGAGAAGTTAAATAAATTGCCAGATCACCTCTCCGAGGATGCGTGATAGTGATTCGTACCACCACATGTTCCAGATATATTACATGGTGATTGGCATTGTCTGCACATCCTGTGGCTTTGTATATTGAACGAACGCCATTATCTGGTCCATTACGACTATTATCTGGTCGTATTGTTCTGTTTGAAAAATACAAGCCAAATTAAATATCTACCGAACATGGTAAATTTATCATGTCTAAAACATCTCTGAAACACAGCTAGTCCTCAACCTACAACCATTCATTTAGTGTCTATTTGAAGTTATAATGGCACTGTAAAAAGTGACTCACGATAAATTTTTATGCTTACTACTTTGCTTGGCAACTGGTATTTATTTACAATTGTTGCACTAACCCAGGATCATGTGATCACCATTTGTAACCTTTCCAGATGGCTTACGACAAGCAAAGTCAATTGGGGAAAGCTAAATTTGCTTGACAACGGCATGATTCACTTAAAAAAATTCAGTGATTCACTTAACAACTGTGGCAAAAAAAGTTTGCAAAATGGGGCACAACTCACTTGACAACTGCCTTCCTTAGCAATGGAAATTTTGGGCTCAACTGCTCAATTGTGGTCATACATATTTTTTTCCTCTCTTTTTTTGTGCATAGCTGTGAGAGCTATTTGGTGAATCTACTGAAGCTCCTGAATCTATTATCTGAAGAGTTAATTGTTATCCCTTTGAAAGGTGGGCACAGATAATTCAAAGGCTCCCTCACATTGTCTGAGTATGCATAGACTGAGCATGCATGGAGCATGCACAAACAACATGGACAAGCTCTTATTGAGCATAATTTGCATTAGGCTTTTTTTTTCAACAAAAGAGTAAAGAAGAAGATCCTATTTAACAACTAGCTTATAAAAACATTCATGTAAAAAAAAAAATTAGCCACCAGTCTAGTCTGGGTAAATATTTTGATCAATATCTTTAATAAATATTACTTGATTTGTCGATCTGTGTTCTCAACACAGACATGCTGTGGAGGGACTGTTGTCCACTTTTCTGCTTCTACCACCATAGCTTCAGCATCCATCAATCCAAATCCATATAAATGGCTAACTACAAAGCATAAAATATTATTATATTCTCAAAGTAGTTATTTTCATTTTCATACAACACAAACATCTATACTCCATTTAATTCCTTTTCCTCAAAAATACATTGTTTCATATCACATGTATCCTGTCTTCTTAAACTGCCAGTTAGAGCTGCAATAATTGGTCTGATAATATTAATTATTAATGTAGTTTTTGGGCTTGATGTCTACATATATGATCAATTTCTTTTTCTCCATGTGATTTTGCAATCTGGACAAAGCTAGTAAAAGACATCAGTATCAATTTAGTGGAATATGGAGAAAGCTGTAGGAAACGAGATAAATGAAGAATGAAAAAAGGTGCTGGGAAATAATTCTTGGAAGCAATGCATATATGTTTTAATGTATCCCATGCTTTAATAAATACATCTTGAGTTTTGTTGGTTAAATTTATAATTCCCCACAGCCCTAAGCTTTGTCTTGTTGGCTTTATCTAATGACACATAATTTAGCAAATCTAGCTAATAGTTTGTCAAAGCATTAAATAAGAGATATGAGTTATGTCTTTGAAAACCATTATTAATCAATGATATACAAATATAATGCAGACTAAAGTGTTGTATCCAAAGTAGGGTAAATTATGGGCTTAAAGGAATACTCTATTAACAATTTACACTGTAAGTTTTAAGAATAGAACTGTGACTGCTCTCCATGTTACGGAAATAAATTGCCAGTACTTTGAGGACTGATATCTGTAAATTTGATGGATTATTTGGAGAAATACGCATTATTTTTTAAAAAGCAAGATCTTTGTATTACTCCAAAAAATAGCCAAAATCTATTCATATGGTCACTTTTTTAAAATTTCATTTTTTCATTCTTGAGAAAAGATTATCACTCAATATTATAATGTTTAGTTTAATTTGCCATGAATGACAGTACTCTTAATGTTTCAAACTGGTTTTGGTGATGAATAATGAGTAGGGATCAGATGTATCCTGCCATTTAAAAAATGCACACATATATACATTTAAATATAATCCCTCCTTAATTCAATTCAAGAAGTAGCACGTTGAGCAGTTATTAAGGTTTCCATATGGAAATGTTCCAGACAGCTGATGGATGGCTGTCTGAAATGCTTTGTACTTTAAAGTTTCTGATCAAATGGATTGGGGGCCAAGCAGCTGCAAGAATCAAAACAAGCCCATCATTTTCACAGAGCAAATAATAACAATTTTGAGAAAACATTACAGAGTTATTAAAACTAACTGATCCTTTGCATCATGAAGGGAAAAAAATCATCCATTCAATCTCACACTGTAAAGTTATCCTTTTACGTATGTGTAAATTAAAAATGTGAGGGTTATTTCAACTGATATTAACCAAATCTAGAACCTCATGAAGATATGTCATGTCTTAGAAATGACTTATAAGCAACACTTAAGATTGTAATTGCCATTTTTCTGCCTGAAAAACATAACTCTGGGGCATACTGTTTTTGGAAATACCTATGTCCTAGACTGAAAAAGCTGTTCTTGCACATGAATAATATACACAAAAATTATTAACCTTTTCACGTGAATCCCAGCAAAGTTTGCCTCATTAAAGGGAATCATTACTGGTAAAGTACTATCCAATTCTGTCATGATTTTTTTTAAAAAATATAAAATTTTCTCTTTTAATTTCTTTGGAAGTAATTATCCTCAAACTCTTGCATATATTTATTTACTAATTGACATGTATTACTTCCCATGTGAATTCTACTAAAAAAGAAAACAAGTTAAAAGTTGTTGATTTCCAAAAATAATGGAATATATGGTGATCTGAAACAGTTTTGGGAGGGATTCTTGGTGATCTCTGAGTTGGTTATTGGTTTACATCAGGCATGTCAACCTGGCGGCCCACAGGCTGCATTCAGCCTGTGCAGGCCACACCCACTCCGGCACCGCAAAGGCAAAAAAACTCCCAATACGTCACCATATGGCCTGCATTGCGATTAGGCTTGCCATCCCTGGCTTACATATATTTCATTACCTGCTTAGGTAACATCTTCGGTGCTACTGAGTATAAGGTTTGCTCCCTATTTATATACAAGTAATCCTCAATTTAAGATCACAACTGGGATTGGAATTTTGGTTAAAAGTTGTTGCGATTGTAAATTAAGGCACCCCTGTTTGGATCCAGTTGTTTTACCACTTTTTATACTTGATTTTTATAAAACAGATCTGTCACTATTGTTATCACTTTGAGATTGAAAGAATTTTCTGCTTGCTCTTAAGATTCTTTACAGGTTCCCTTTCTTCTGTAAATGTCTTTCAATGATTATGGCACAGAGTATCCTCCTCCTCCTCTTACCAAATATTGCAGTGAACTGATAAAAAATATTCTAGAAGAATACTTCTTCATAAATAATGTATTATTAGAATTGGTATATGAATACAAATTTTTATATTTTATATTAAATATTGGTTTTAATAAAGATATGGAAACTGAAGGCTGGAATATTCAGTTTTCATTCATTCATTCATTCATTCATTCATTCATTCATTCATTCATTCATTCATTCATTCTCTTAAATTGTTTCAATTACCTATGAAAGTTTCAGCAGTAATTATCTTTTACCATGCTGGATAGCCAGCATGGTAAAAGATAATTGCTGGCTGTGGAATTCTGGGAGTTGAAGTCCACATGCCTTAAAATTGTCAAGGTTGAGAAACACTGGTCTAGGCCAAAAAACTTCACTATTCTAACCAATTTATTTTAACGTCCCTCTGGGGATCAATGACTACATTTCTATTTTTTTTTTAAAAAAACAACAACCCTGATGATTTAAACTCCACAGTAATGAAAGTCCTTAAACCTGGGATTGCCAAACAAACAAGTCAAGCAGTTCAAAGAAACAACACGCTAACCCACATTCGAGTACCAGTTTTCAGTAACGTTTGAACAAGAAATTTATAAACATTTACCTATTTTCTCCTCTATGATTTTTTATTTCTAAAGTAATATCCTCACAACCCTGCTATTCGGCTGTTTATTTATATCTTGTGGAGGAAAAATAAATGAATCTCACTGTCCTCCATGCTGTTTTTGAATAGTGCAGTTTATTTGATAAAACTGTATAGGATAACATTATAGCTTTAGCCAGTAAATGGCTAAATGTGTGTAGGATAAGATTGCAGCCAAGGCTAGCTTTAGAAAACTGCTTGGCTTACTTTCCTCGTACACCTTATTATGATACTGTCATTGAAGAAATATGTTACAGCCAAAAAAAAAGAAAAAGAAAAAAAGAATTATAGTACATTTGCAAAGGGATTCAGTCTGATCAGTGTAATTCATTCTATGAAAAACAGGTTTTTAATTATTATTTTTGGCTGCAGCTGGGGACAATAGTGAAATATTACACTAAATAATGCCACGTGCAATAGTAAAATACAGTTCCATTTTTGCCAGAAGCAATATACAGTGTGCACGTATATACTCTCCACATCAAATTAAACATTGGAGGTTACTATTTAATCTAAATCATTTGCTTTTGCTTCATCCAAAACTAACAAGAGGTTGAAAGGGAGTTATAGTTTTATTGAAACCATTTGCTCAGCTTACATTGCCAAAATAATTGACTTAAAACTATTCATTTTAATTAGGTTAAAGTTGATGCTTCAGTTCCATTGTGAATAGGGATAATTTTGTTCCTTTCTTCTTTTTATAATTTAATATGAGGTAGTGAATAACTACATACATATATTGCACTATATGGAATACTAACCTGCAACTGGTACAAAATGCAGTTGGAGAGATTTTATGAATAACTATAATCATGACAGAAAATAAGATATTTTCTAAATATTAATTTAATGGACATACCTCCTAGGTGTTTTGTTATATTCATACAATGGATAACATTCCAAGCAAAATGGAACAATAATATTTCTTAACCATATCTCAGTGATATTTATCAATTTTTCCTGCTATCTCATGTATTATTTGATTTCCATAAGTTGAACACAGAAATGTAAAATGCTCTCAGACAAAAGTAGCAAATAAATTAAGCTGCATAAATAATAAACTAGCATTCAATTATTTTAACAATATTTTCTGCAATTATTGTAGCATTTAGAATAATACCCAGCATATACTGTTGTTATTTTGACAGTGCAGTAAGGAATATTGATAGCTAGTACACTCCTTGAGAAAAGGTGGAATATAAATTTAATAATTAAATAATAAAACATTGATTAACATACAATATGAATCATTTTTCAAATATATTTTCACTCAAAATATAATAAATTTTATAATAGATAAGAACAACATAAAAGAAAAAAATTAAACCTCCAACTGAAAATTATGGCATAGAATTTGTTGAATTTGTTGTTATGACCTAAGTAGGCACCTGCATTTATATTCTGTATGTCATGAATCTTTTCCTTATAAATATTAAATTGAAATCAATACCATTCATTTAATGCGCATGTATAAGATTCAAATGTCTCACTATTTTAAACAACTGATTTATGTGAAAGAGTTGTTAGAAACATATTTTTCAAAAGAAAAAAATATGCATTCCTTAATATGTATATTTTTGTTAATACTATTCCCAATATATACATTTAAGTACACAATTTATTTAATAGTGAATTTTATCACATAATATCAATGTGCACGTAGTAGTATGCTACTCTTAGAAGTCAGGAAATACATATTGTTTAAATTTATATTATTTAGCTATGAATGATATTTATAACAGATTGCTCCAATCAGCCCATATAAGAGATAGCTGAGAACCATTTTACTTTCAAGAATAATATTTTCTTTGTAATGAGGACTCCTTATTTTACCTACAACACAGCAATATACAAGAGGAATAATTCTTGATCTTGTGACCTCATTTACTTTACTAGTGTAAATAAAAAGAAGCTGCATGAATTATACCTGATAGGAAAACACTTGGACTTAGAAATAAAGGGGAAAATATAAAGAGAAATTTAGAAATAAAGAAATACTAAGGACTTTATTGAATAAGGCCTGAAATGTTGACTATGAAATGACAACTTACCCTTGTAACCAGCTGCATTGGTTTTCCAGTCACTGGCAATTAGATGTCCAGCCCGTGAAGTCCTTACAATAATATGTTGAATATCCCTCCATGTTAGTAAACGACTAGAAAAAGACAATAAAATGTGATTTTCTAAAAGGAGAAAAGTATAGACACAGAGGTGGTTATCTAAAAGAGAGAAACATGTCAAGAATATTCATAGCAAGAATAAATTATAGGTTAAATTAGTCCTTGTTCATAATTAATATTTTGAAGGCAATGTTTTAACAAACAGAAAAATATTTCATTTGCATGAAAAAATAGATAATAGTTCATTGTTATGTGGTATTTAAACAACAGCTTCTGTAATGTATATTCTCACTTTGAAGTGAGGCTGCCTGTCAGTATGGCTAGGTCCTTGCCATGACACTTGGAAAGAGAGACTGAACTAGGAGTCTTTGAGTTTGCTTGTTTTCTTGCAGACATTTCATTAGCCAAACTAGGTAACATCATCAGGAGTCCTTACTAGCACTGATAATGTTACCTTGTTTGGGTAATGAAATGTCTGCAAGAAAACAAGCAAGCTCGGAGAGCACCAAGGACCCCTCATTTCAACCCTGAGCTATAAATACTCTCCTTTATTAGAGACTGCATCACCTCTATACTAAACTGCAAATAGAGTGTGCTGGTTATGGTCATACCTATGCTCTGGCAACTTTGGCTACAATGAGAAAAACATTAAAATAAAATCTCCTTGTAGGTTGTGCTTATAATGATTATTTCATGCTTGGCTTGCAAGGACAGGATGTTACAGCATAGATTAAGATCAAGAGATCTTCTTGGAGAGAGAAAAACACTGGGAGGATTTCTGATCCTGATTCTGATCTTTGTGCTGGTAGAGATTACAAAATTTGCTAGATTTAGGAAAAGAGCATCTCCCCACATTTTATTTATTTAAATTTATATGCCTGCCTATCTCAGTGTCTCTGGATAGTATACAAAGATTAAAAACCCAACAGTTAAAAACAACTGTTACCAGGATCTGCAAGGTAAATGATACCTCACAATTATAAAATCATATCAACAACAGAGCAAAGGCGTAAGCTTTTGTGGCCTATGTGGGCGCATATGCCTGTGCTTGTAAAGAATTACCCCTCCTAGCAACCAGCAGCAAACAATTACCCCTCCTAGCAAGATCACCCCAAACAATTTATGACTCATCTTGTTAGAGGCCAGGACAAATTTTCTACATAGACAGATAATACAGGTTGGCCTGCGTACAGGCTAGGCATTACATATATAGCAGAATCAATCAACCTTTGTTGGCAAACAAACCAACAACAACAAGTGATAGACATGGGGTAAAGTCTTGGTAGATAATGCCAGCAAAATCAGAAATTGGTGGTGCATAATTGGTGTAAGGACTTCTCTACTTTTAGAAAAAAATGTTTATGTCCATGCTTTTGAATAAATAAATTTGTGTCCCAGAGTAATCCAAAATCTGTTAATTTCATATTTGAAGCTACAAGCTTAAAATTTCTTTCATATCCCATTATTGCTTATTTACTCAGTATAAACAAGACTTTTGCATAATAGCATCTTGCTGTTATTCTTTCCTATATGATAGTGCTCTGTTAATATAATTTAATCAATAGCTGTTGGTACAATTCATGTCCAGATTATATTTTCCTATCAGAAAGGGCTAGAGTTGTAGTGCAGAACCACATTGTTAGTTTCAAGCAAAATTATTTGACTTGTTTCCAGCCTCAGTTGTAAATATTCCTATATAGATGTAAAATTGCTGCCTTGATACGAATGCATTTTCTGACATTTTAATATTCTTAGAAACATAGAAAATTGATGGCAGGAAAAGACCTAAGTCCATTGAGTCTGCCCTTTGAGTTTAGTTTTTTTATTTATTTTTATTTATTTATCTATTTTTTATTTTTTTATTTTATTCATTTTTATTTAATTTTTATTTTTTGTTGGCTGAGGGACATGTTTATCCCAAACATATTTAAACTTAGATACTGATGATGTTTTTACTGTTCTAAGCATATTATGCTGTATTATGTTCTATTTGTTCTAAAAATAGAATAAGTTCTATTATGTGAATATTCTTAATCTTCTTCTGAAGCTGCAAGACACACTTTTGCAGCTTGCCATGTGCATTTGTGTTCTAGGACTAAAATTAAGCAAAGAAAAATATAGAACGAATGGAGAAAATCCAATGTATATTAAAATTCATAAAGATGGAATTAAAATTGATTTAATTACATAGCATCACCTATATACAGTACTTGCTAGTGTAATCTGTTGATTCTGTTTTGTAGCTACTCATGTACAAATGCTTTCAAGGTTCCAGTTATAAAAATAATAGTGTAATATTTTTAACAGTTTGAAATCAGATAATAAGGAACTGGCCTTCTCTAACAAGGTAAACCATATAGAGAAATAAAAATAAGAAAAAGTGAAAAGTGTAATATAATGAGTGGAAATTTTACAATGGCTGTAGGGTCTGATCACGTATATCTGTGCAATGTCAATTTATATATCCTTGCAGTAAACAAGCAACATGAATACCAAAAGCCTTGAATCTGGTCTTAAGACTTAATCAGCAAAGAACTACAGTATATCTAATTTATGCCTGCCCTAGCACAAAACTTCTACTGCACAATTCCTTTGATATAGTGTATATTTCCCAATTCTTTCTCCTTTAATTCAGCTACTTATATATTCGGGTTGCACAGCAACCCGCTTAATGAAGGAAAATATTATCTAGCAGAGATTGCTTGCTAAACCAATGATATAGCCAGGAGATTAAGAATACAAAAATCCAGTTTAATTATACAAAACAGATGTGTTCAGCCTTATGGAGATTTTGTACTCTGTACCTTTAGAAAGGAAGGAAAGAAAAAGAAACCTTGGCTATAAAAATTTGGGAATGATATCTGGAAATACATAGTACATTCTATGCAAGGCATAGAATGGCCATTGCGGCTACCACAAGGTTGCCCATCCATGAATTAATGACAGCTCTTGGACTTTTTCTCTGATGTATTTTGTAGGGTTCAACTGAGTTATATTTAGGAACAAACTAGCCATACAATCACTGAGAATTTAGTGAGATAATATTAGCAGAGAAATTTTTATTTGTCAAAAATTCTTCTGGTTTGCATTTGTTTTTTATTTTAAAGCTATATGTTTATAGTTCCACTTCTTCAAAATTCATGTCACAAAAATGTATTTGCTAGTATTTTGCTTCGTTGTCACTAGGAGACACTGTAGTGCCTGTTAATCTACAAACATAAATGCCATATTTTAATAATAGTTTCTAAATTTATTAACAGAAACATCTTGATTAAAATTTCCAATATTAACTAATTTTATAACTTATAAAATTGTTCTTCTAGTTAATATTTTTTAATCCAAATATTTAAAATATTTAGTTCTGTGGTTAAGCAAAGGACCCAGGTACATTGTGAGATTACTTCTCAATATCTCCTCTGGGTTTTGCCATTTTGCATAGTTAAGCAATGCAGGAGTATTGAATTAAAAATTTAATTTCCTTCTATTTGTCTTTATATAGACTTATCAGACAAAGCAATAGAAGAAAACTGAAAAAGAGATAAAAAAATATCAAAACGTTGTGATACATTTTCCCCCCATTCCTGTTACAATCTCCACATCTATCATTCAAAAAACACAAGGTAAAAATTCTAACCCTTATTTAAAATTATGAATTCTAGTATAAGTGATATTGAACAATGCTTTACAGTACATAGTTATGTATCTTGTTTGTACACAAGTTTGTGAAGGGTGAACATGACAATATAAACTTCAGGCTGGCTTTATGAACTCTACTTCATAAACTATGAATTTTTAAAGCAGTAATGCTTTTCTCCTAGAAATTTCTGCTAGCTGCTAGAACAGACAAGAAGCAGTATTATAATACCATCTTAAAGACGCTGAAGATTGAAAAAGACACGGAAAAACAGGAATGTCTTCAAAAGATCCCTGATATGCTAAATGTGGAATTAATACCCTAAAACAGGGGTGTCCAACCAACTTCAGTATGCTGGCTGAGGAATTCAGGGAGTTGAAAATTCACAAGTTCTGAAAGTTGCCAAGGTTGGATGCCAGTGAAGGGACAGAATCTGGTAGCACCTTTTTTGACTAACAAATTTTATTAAGCAGCGTAAGCTTTCATGTGTTATCATTCACTTCATCAGACAGCACAGAGTGGCTAGACTGATATAGGATTTATTGTGGTGAAGAGTGAGGGCAAGGGTGGGAGAAATTTTAGTGGCCAAGTATTTGCAGGAAAGTCTACAGTATGGAGATTCTGGATCATCCAGGTCATAGTTGTCCCAAAGATGCTTTTCCAAAAGGCAACTGGCAACGTTTCACTTCTCATCTAAAAAGCTTCTTGTATGAGAAGTGAAATGTTTTCATGGAAAAAACCTCTTTTGGGATATGTGCAGGGATTGATTTCTTGGTTATACTAGTAGTTATAGTATATGATGAATGATGTAATTCTGATTAATAATAATGAACATTCTTGCTATCTATTTTAATTTTTGTACCACTTTAGTTGTTTTTTTAACTTTGTTTTAATTTTGCTTGCCACCCAGATTCACTTGTTTAAATGGGGGAGGGGGGAGAGCATATAAATGCAATAAACAGATAAATCTTCCTAACAATACTATTTTAGCATTTTAACAACATCATCAGGAGCATCATCACTGATGCAAAAACAGCAAGCCTTGCTACCAGACTGTGTGCCTTTGTACTCATCTATAACTGCTTTAAACCTAGCAATAATATTGTACTACAAATTAGTGGCATCAATATGGCACATACATCTTCAATTTGGCAAGATTTTCATGGCTGACTTGGAACATTTTCTTCAATGTTACTCTCTGAACCCTCTCCTTTTAGATATGGCATTTTTTTTTTTTTTATTAAAAGTTTTATAAATTTTACAAAAAAAACAAGAACAATACAGAACAAAAAACAACATACAAAAGAAAAAAAATTAAACAATACATATAAAAAAAAAAACAAAACCCCACCCCACACCCCTCCCAAAAACCCTCCCTTCCCCCCCCCTGAGCTTCCCAGA